CTGTTATGTTAAACTTATATTAAAGTTTTTCTTCATTACCAATTCAAGCCGTCTCCAGCCATTATTAGCCACAAACTTTCTGCTCCCCTATTGGAATCAAATGATTCGAACATGTCTCTCATGTAAATCATCATGTGTCAATTCTCCACCAATAGGAGAACTAACATACTCACGTAACACATATGACTCCCTCTATACACCTCTACCAAACTATCACTTCGTGGTTTGGAAGAAGACGTAAGCACCGGAGGAAAGTGGAGAGGAATGGTGAGAAGTGTGAGGGAAGTACCTATCAGAAATAAATTTTCAGTATAGGAAAATTATAATTTCTGACACGGTACTTCGCTCCACTCACAAGATTAGCTAGAATCCCACATTGATTAGGTGGAGGGGCTGGTGCGAGGGAATGACAGAAGTACCCCCCCCCCGAAAGCATTCTCTGGTAATGAAAGAGTCAGATCTGATTAGTGGAACCGCACCACTTCTGAACCAAGTATATTCTTCACCCACCCATGAAATGTGTAGTAGATAAGGGTGGAAAAAGAAAGGAGCAAGCACATCTAAGTGGAAGAGAACTGTGGGAGGATAGTGATCCTAACCATGTAAATATATATGTAACTCAATCCCACAAAGTATAAAAGGTCCCCGGATCGATAGATCAAGAGTCAGAGTGGTTCTAGATTTCCTCCCCCATTCTCTTGAACATGAGGTGAAGATGGTATGATTTTAATCCTACCTCCGTGTGGGTGTTGGTTCCCAGCAGCATGGGTTTTGGATGTAGTTGTCTTACCGAAAACTGTTTATTGCGCCCTAGCCACTCTACACTTAGGGGCACACCCATTGTTTTACCCACGTGCAGTTCTGAATCTCGACTGTAAACAGCACATTTATCGATCTTTTCAGCATTAATCTGCTCATTCCAATGATAGATTTTACAGAGCATGACATGCAGGCATTCTCTGTGTTTCTTACCCATTATTTAATATTAAAAAATCAAAAGTTATTTAGATATTGAGACATAATGTTTATATAATGAAGTAGTACAGTTCTTTCTTTGGCAGGTTATTTTAAATTATCTGGCAAAAATAATTCATCATCCTTTATTTCCTTCTTTAACATTTTTACAAACTTGAATAATTGTATACTGCAGTAAATTACTGTTGGCCCACGTTACAAATGACGCTAACTAATCTCTCTCTCTCTATATATATATATATAGTCTCGTTGGTTGTATTTATGGGCGTGAGAAGGTTTTCTAGAAAATTCAGATTACATAACAATACTGAGCTATATTTAAACGTTTGCGTATATAGATATATTGTTGTTTTTTACTCTCGATTCTTATACAATTTTGGACAAACGTTAATATTAAAATAAATATATAACAACAAATTCGTTACAATATTATGTAGACATATTTTCGATACTGGATGTCAAAAATCAAAGTTTGATTTTTTGTAGTTTGTCTTTATGAATTACGCTAGATGATTATTAAAAATAATAAAATTTCGATTCTACAATGTTTCTGAGTTTAGAATTATTATTTCTAATTAAAATTGGAAAACTGATATGTAGGTGAGCACTCGACATCTAAAAGAAGCTTTGCTGTCCAATACCATTAAAGCAAAATATATCTATTTGTGTAACCCTAAATAAAGGGATAAAAAATCATGAAAATAAATAAAACTAGAAACGTTTTAGTCTTATATTCAATTTAAAGTTTTTTTTTAGTTTATTAGCGTTTGGTAAATCTTTGTAGTAGTATTCATTTGTTTGTACTGTGTGAGTAATAAGAAATCGTGCATGTCGCCTTTTAAGGCGATTCATAGAAACCACGACCATATACCATAGTAGTCATTTGATAGAGCTCTGCTAGCTTCGCTAAGCCCCAAGTGTATCAGCGATATGCCTACGGACTTACAATGCTAAAAACTAGATTTAGATACTCGTTGTGTAGCTTTGTGTTTAACTACAAACAAACACGCGCTTCGCTAAACATCTGTGTAGTCTTTCCCTTGGGAGTATTAATAATACCCTAATATCGATGAAATTGGTAAGAGTTTGGAGTTGATAGATGTTTTTACTTAGCTTCAGCAGCCATGGTTAGATTTAGTCATAACTTAGAAGTTTGTCACACTAAATTCCTGCCTAAGAAATAAAGACTGTTCCCCTTTATTTCAAACTTGTGTTTGGGTTTTCCTTTGCTGTTCTTGTTAGATATATTCTATCTCAAGGAAGTATTTTCAAGCGTTCTTCATTGCGGACTTAAACTTACCCGTTGCCTTTAGTTTTATCTGCAAATATTGCATTTATCAATCAAAATACGTCAATAAATTAATATAGTGATTATTTCATTTAATGATGATTTATTTCTCAAATAGCTCAGTACTTTCCTTTTTATTTAAAATTAGCACTTTAACCTCAGTTTAACAACTTAAACAATCAACGGGAACTTTATTGAATTAGTCAAAAAGATAAAAGAAAACATGATTTAATTTACCAAATAAATTTCATATTTATAAATAAGGTAACTGAAGTCAATGTGATACACTTTGAACACATTTCTGGACAATATACACATGCAGGATTGTTGAGTTATAATATTCAAATACATTAATGTCAACATCAGATATCTGTAAAATGCAGATTACAGAGAGTAACAAAAGGAAGACAAAT